GTCAGAGGCCCCACCATGAAAACGGGAGACAGAATACAAACGGAGGCTTCAGCGCAAACCCAAGCGTCTACATAAATGCTGGCCATCATCTGAATACAAGCCACCATCGAGACACAGGACTGTACATGAACCAAGGCCCCCCCACACATGGAAACCACCATCCAAACAGAGGCCTGCATGCAAACAGAAGATTTCCTCCCTACAGTGGCTATTAGACAAACACAGGTCACCAGGTTGCCAGAAGCACTTATGAAAAATCCAGCTTCAAACTGTTTTCTCATGTAAATAAAAGCAACAGCTTTTAATATACGCATTAAAAAAATAAACAAACAAAAACAAAAAAATAAAAAATAATTACCCCTCCGTGAACCGCCACCTTATCGTGGTGGAGGGGTTTGAGTGCTCAGATGATCCCAGAGCTACTGTATGTTGTCGGGGGCCCCTGGTAGGGTCTCCCATGGCAAACAGGTTCTGGGTGATGCGCCAGACCAAGAGCGGTTCAAGAGGTTCTCAATAAACTTGCCAGAACAAATACGTACATTAATGGGATAAAACTGTGAAATTCACTTTTTGAAGATTTGTGTCGATTCATACATATGTTTAAACAAATTATATTTAGGTATAAATGTTACAAAGTTCATGTTATATTTTCCTTATATGTATTGTTCATCTTGTATGACTGATATATATTGATATTGTCTTAAAAATATGTTTGATAATTCAATGTAACACAGATGTTTGTTATATTATTGCTTTGTTTCAACTGTAATTAGCTTCGCAAAGGTTATTCAAATGTTTGTTTGGGTCAGACAAAACAAGATTTTATGTTCTTTCTGCTCCATTTTGCTTATGGTAAATGTATGGCAAAGTGACTGTTTTTTCTAGGGAGTTTTACCATGGAGCAATAAATCTGAAGACATTGCATCCCTGCACCTTCAGATGGGGTGGAGGTCTCTGACTGTTTTCAGAGGCAAATAGGTGGGAAGAAGTGCCAGACCTCATTTGTATCCCTGCAAGGAGGTTTTGGAAAGCACCCCTTTAGGGATTGTATCATTCTGCTTGGGAACCTTAATTCCCATGTGGGAAATAACAGTAATTCCTGGAGCAGTGTGATCAGAAGAAATCGATCCAAAGCTCTGAAACTGAGTGGTGTTTTGTTATTGACTCATTTAAATCATGAATTGTCTATAATAACTTTCTCTGGTCCCCTCCCTGATCTGACCATTGATGACATTAGCTGCATGTCGTCATTCAACTGCTGGTTGTCTAGATGGTGTTTTTTTGGGGAATGCCTGGTCTGATTCAGGGAGACGGCATCCATCCCACTTTGGATGGTGCAGCTGTTCTTTCTAGGAATCTGGCCAAAGTTATTAGTCCTCCAAGACCCTGACAATCCAGGGTGCAGACCAGGAAGCAGAGTTGCAGTTTAACACACGTCTCTGCAGCTTCTCTACTGTTACCCAATCATTACTGCATTCAGACAGTGTCTTGCCGACAACCAAAATGTAATAAAGTATGAAAGATTCCCAAAGGAGTAAATCATGATAATCTAATTAAAATTGAAATAACACCAATTGAGGAAAAAGTTAAAATGACTAAATGTGGTTTATTAGGATCTCTTTCTTCAAAGGGTCTGCTAGTTATTGACTTGATTAGTGATAATCATATTTATTTATGTTGCCTTAAAGAAACTTGGATGCAGCAAGAGCATTATGTGAGCATAAATGAGGCAAGTCCTTCTAGTTATTTAAATATTCACATACCCAGAAATTCTGGTGGAGGAGGAGGAGTAGCAACTATCTTTCAGTCTGACTTACTGATTACTCCAAATGCAGTTAATAATTGCAACTCTTTTGAACATTTAACCCTTAGTTTCCCTCATCCAAATTGCAAAGCAAGAAAACCTCTTCTTTTTTGTTACTTTGTATCTTCCTCCAGGTCCTTACTCTGAATTTTTAGAGGGGTTTTTAGTGTTCCTTTCTGATTTGGTTTTAAATACTGACAGGGTCATCATAGTGGTGGATTTTAACATCCTTTCTGACACTGAAGGTGATAGCTTAAGTGCAGCATTTAATGCTATCTTAGATGCTATTGGCTTTGTTCAAAATGTGAATAGTCCCACACATTCTCATCTTTATACTTTGGACCTTGTGGTGACATATTGCATAGAATGTGAAGAAATAACAGTATTTCCTCACAATCCTGTCCTCTCTGACCATTTTTAATAACCTTCAGAATTACTTTAACAAAGTTCTCCTCCCTCAAAAGAAGGTTTCACTTTAGCAGGTCATTATCAGATAGTGCAGTCATGAATTCTAAAGAACCTGTTTCACTTTCTCTCTCTCTGTGTCGCTGAGCAGTGCTGCAGAGGGCAAAAGTTTAGTTTATTCCCCTTCACAGGTTGATGATTTTGTTGATGGGGTTGCTAGTTCTCTGCGTACTACTTTAGAAAACGCATCCCCGTTAAAAAATAAAAACTTTAAAAATAGAAAGCTGGCTCCCTGGTTTAATGCAGAGCTGCACACTCTAAAGCAAAATGCTGGGAAACTGGAGAGAAAGTCGTGCTCCACAGACCTATGGGAATTCTACCTAGTCTGGGAAAATAGTTCCAGTCCTTAAATAGCTTTTAAGGTTGCTGTGATTAAACCTTTACTTAAGAAACAGGCTCTTGACCCCGATGACTTGGTTAATTATAGACTTATATCCAATCTTCCTTTCTTATCTAAAATTCTAAAGAAAGAATTTGCCAAACAAGTTTGCAAACACTTACACCATAATGAACTTTTTGAAGAGTTTCAGTCTGGCTTCAGAGTTCATTATAGCACTTAAACATCTCTGGTAAAATTCGCTAATGATATTTTCATGGTCTCAGAAGATGGACTTGTATCTGTGTTTGTCCTGTTGGATCTCAATGCTGCATTTTATACAGTTGATCATGATATTCTTTTAGAATGACTTGAATATTTTGTAGGAATTAAAGGAACAGCACTGCACAGGTGTAAATCTTATCCATCTAATTGATTTCAGTTTGTTCACGTTAATGACAGATCTTCCTCATGTTTAAGGGTTACCTGTGGAGTACCACAGGCATCAGTGCTAGGACCAAATCTCTTTACTATATACAGTATATGTTCCCAATCGGTAGAATTATTAGACAGCATGGGATTAATTTTCACTGTTATGCTGATGATACCCAGCTATATCTGTCTATAATCCAGATGAAGCTAACCCATTACATAGATTACAGGCATGTCTTGAAGACATAAAAACCTGGATGACTCTAAATTTTTTTCTCCTGAATGCAGACAAAGCAGAAGTTATATAGTCTTTGAGGAAGAAGCTGATTAGTCGGTCACTTCATTTGGATGGGATTAAACTGATTTCAGATAATAAAGTAAAAATTGGTGTTATATTTGATGAGGACATTTCATTTAAATAAATTTTGTCGCCACAAAACAGACTCTTTATTTTTTATATATTAAGTTTATTCTTCTTCCGTCAACCTTAACAGCTGGACACATCCACACAATATAGGTGTCAAAACGCCCGTCTGGGTCCTGGCAGGTGAGCTATCATTTTTAAAGCAATTGGAGTTACTATGGCGATGTAATTCACACAAAACCAAGCATAAAAATCCCATATGAATGAACGAGGGAGAGGGGAGGAAGAAAATATAAAAATCCACTATTATTGAGCCTTTGCTATGTGGTCATACATTCACCTATAAACACAGCTTAAAGATAAATCCTTCATCTTTCAAACTGAAAATGTTATGTTGATAACTGCTACAGTTTTTCTAAAATCAGTCGTCAAGCACCACAAAGTTTGAGGAAAATCCTGAATCCAAGAGCATGTCACATGACTTTTCAGAGTGAGGGAGAGACATTTTTTTTTTTTTTTTGATCTGGCATTCTAAAATTTTCTCCAGCTAAAAAAAATGCAATATTGATTGTTTTTCTTAAGTGAGATTAGCAAAGTTTATTTTATCTTTTTCAATGAAAAGATGACTTAGAGATTGAAATTTTAACAGATTTTTTGTATTTTTATTTTTTTGTTGCTTTACTTATTTTTTTTTTTTTACCCAAAAATAAAAACCAAGCAGATCTTATTTCTTAAAAAGCAATCTTGTATTTACTGGTGCCTAATTATTTAAGCTTTCTAGTGTAAATCATTTGTGAGAGGTTTCATGCATAATACCAACTCTTGCTGGCACATCTGGTTATTTGCTTCTCCATTAGCTCCCCTGTGTTTGGCTTTAGTGCACTTGGTTTACATTAAGATCCCCATTAGTGTCAGAGATGCTGTTTGATGCCCCTTAACTAAGTGGGATAGTTAAACAGAGGGAAGAGCTCAGCCTCTTCACCATCTTTAAAAAGTACAGGTGTTTTTTACTGGGACATGTGCATGTTTCTTATTATTTTCTAATGGTTAGTACTTCTAAAAGGGACTGTTTGCTTCTGTGTGACCAGTTTTCCTGGATAAGAGTAAGTCCGGTTATACAGGCTGCTCCCCTCTGGAACTTGTCTTGATTGGTTAGGGGATGACGGGGTGGGAGAGGCAATCTGTCTGTTAGGATCTCAGCCTAGCTGAGTCTATAGGGAGTAGAGCCTTCACAGCCTCTTCCTCATGGAAAGATGAGGTCTTCATTACTGATAAGCCTCCTGCTTTGCAACCAAGCGGTTTCAGATTTCCTTCAAAGATTTACTAAATGGATCTTTGGACAAATCCTTAAATGAAAAATATATTTTTTTTCTATTTCAAGACTTCTGTAACAAAGTGGAAATCAGGTTAAGTGAGTACCACACTTAGCCAATCACTGGTTAAAGAACCAACCAGTACCCCACCTGATTTGTAAAGGATTTATACAAACGAACATCTAAGTAAAGTACACCTGACTTGTGCTGAGAGGAAGTGGAGAGCGGAAGCTAGAATGAGGCCTGAGGAGTCCGTAAAGGAGGTATGAAGTGTGGGTGCAGCGAGAAGAGCAGGAATCAGCTGTTTTCGATGTGAACTTCCAGCACCATGCCAAACCTGCTTTCAGCCCTGCACAAGAAAAACAAACTCCTTCTTCTTCTACTTTTTATGGTCTTCAGCGAGCAGGTATGGTGCTAATTATTGTCAGATAAAATACCCAAACATTTTTCTTTATCTCCTATTATTAAATGTGTTTTTATTCATATATGGTAGGATTTTCAGATGAAAACCCATCATTAAAATACAACTGTTGAGCACCTTGTCTTTGAGAGTAGCAGTGAAGTATCTGAACTGACGAAAGACATGAAAGATGAATAGAAATTTCAATGGAATTTAAATGAATTAAATGGTCCTTTGCTGGAGATGTCTCTTCTTGATGAGTTATGGATCAGATTGCTCCTTGTCATTAGGCTTATGAGAACTTTTGTGCAGAATAGAAATCAGAATGAGTCTCAAAGTTTGAAGTTTAGATGCTGCAGTGGAACTGATCTCTCAAGAAACAGAAAATCAGCACTAAGTGGTAACCATGGGAAGTTTTAAAAAGTCAAGCTACCTAGAAATAGACATAGACAATAGAAATCTATATTATTAAGTAGTATGAAAAATTTTACTTTTTCTCTCTAATAGAAATTGCTTGTTAAATTGTCTTAACAGGTTAGATTGTTACTTTAAGCAGAAAATATTTCCCTAAAATCTATCCTGATCAAACACTCCCACCAAGTGGGTCAATTCAGAAACTGCAGAATCAAACTGTAAAATAACGGTCTATAGACACTAAGGAAATACAACAGAAATGTCGTGCAAACATAAGCGCACTTTATGATTAGTTTGAAACTAGAGGTGTCAAGCATTTGTTTTTGTAAATGTTTAATGTAAACTGTAAATAAGTACATAGCATGTTGAAATGTTTTTACACCTCTATGGTTTACAATATGATGACATTTAACCAGGAAATATTTAGAATAGAGGAAAATTCCACTGAAATAAATATTTTGTCCATTTAGTAATCATATATATATATTTTAACCTTCACAATCAAAATCTATAAACATTATGGAACTCTCCAGGTCTAATATATCCTTGTAAAATTATGATCAAACCCATTTCATGATCAAAGACATCTATTCAACCAAACATGTCATGTTGATATAGTAAATTCCGGATTCATTCCCTAATAATGTCAATATGCATCTTTACAGACAGAACAGGCCAAAAAAGGTTGTGTATTCTGTGTTTTCTGTGAAGAAAGTAGAAAAAACTGTGTCCTTTAACATCAACTGGAGCATTGAGTTTCTTTGTAGCTTAAAGAAAGTTGTATAACAGATCTAAGAGTTACTGCTTGACCTTTGTCACCTTCGATCATTATTAATGTAGAGGATGATTCAGAAGATGAATTCAAGTGATGTGGTTCCTCAAAAATGGGTTTGAAACTAGAAAGATACATGAATAAGAAAAATTAGTCATTTAAATTATAAATTAAAGGAATATTAACGGAATAGTTCCAGTGCCGATATAAAACACACACACACACGAAAAAAAAAATGACAACATCAACGATAAAAAAAACAAAACATTAAACATTACATTAAATTACATGCTTAGCATTAAAGGAACCTTTTTTTTCTTAAAACCTAAGTGGTAGCAACAATTAATGGAGTGGTTCTGAAAATGTTATATTATCCTCATACAGACTAAATAACATACATATAATATGTTTGTACTGATTTATTTACAAAAATATATTATTTGGTTTTAGTTCTATAGCCCAAAGCCTTCGGTCAACTTATCCTTCCATATTGCTTTTGGGTGTGGACATTTGTGATCTTAGTTGGTTGTATTTTCTTACACTGAATTATAGTTAATCATAAATTTAGTCATTCAAAGGTTCAAAATAAATATTTTAAGTATTATTGTATTTTACTGGAAAGTTTAGGCCACCTGTGTCTCTGATTAGAAAAATCAAGCCTCTAACTGTTTGTGTTGAGTTTAGCACTAGCTGTTTAAATCAGAACACCATGTTATCAACATTTATAGAATATTATCAGCTATTTATGTTTTTATTCAGAAGACCAGGAAACATCTTATATTTCTTTATGTTTCTTGCTGCTTTTCTTTTATGCAAACATAATCTTACATTTTGATAAAGGACACCAGTGATGAAGAAGATTTATCACAAGCAGGATTACTGTTATATACAATCATAAAGTTTATCATATCATATGTATAAGGAATATGAAAAAATCTGGATTGATATAAATTTCACTAGTGTCCTGAGATCAAGCAGCACCTGTCCTAGTCCTTGAACCCTAAGCAGCAATTGTGTGACTCTTGCTTTTCAAGAGAGTATAGTAACGAGAAACTGTCAATTTATTTTGTAGAGCTAAAGAGGAAGTTTTTTGTTTTTGCATTTTATTATATTAACTTTGGCTTGCCCTCTTGCGGCTGTCACCAAGAGATGGTTGGTTCTCCTTAAAAAAAGAAAAGACATCTCTGTTAAAACTAAAAAGACAGTTTTAAACTAAAAAGAAATAAATATTATATTAATACAGCATTGCATATACACTTTGCATTTCACTCCATATGAATGAAAAACACATTCAAGCTAAACCAGGCAGTCATATTTTTTGGCATACCAGAAAATATAAATAGGATACCTTATATTTATATTTGCGCAGCTGATAAGTATTTTTTGTAATTTATGTCAAAAGAGTGACCAGATAATTTGTGCTTAAAATATACGGGTGCTCTGTTTACGCTGGTGAAAACTCAGCAGACTAAATGTAGGAAGTGGCCCCAAAGGTAGGGCACCCTGATCTAGTTTACTTAATCTAGATATTTGAGCATTTTGGAATCTAAACCCTATATTCTGGGAACTTTTCACATTTTCCGGGCTTTCTACTAAGTCAGTTTTTCTGTCAATGTTTTTTGTAGGTTTTGCTAAAAAAAAAAAAAAAATAAATAAAAAATGTATATATATATATATATATATATATAATATATATATAAATATCTATTAGAATAGGACTGTATATATCTTTAATCTAGATATCTTCCTATTCAGTTTCCTAGTTTTAAAAATTGTTGAATTTTCTTTTCTTCGTCTCTGTGTGGAAGGCGACAGGCTCCTTGCTGGAAAGTATAATTTCTAAACGCACGGAGTACAAGGAGAACTGTAACAGAACCCTGGCTTCTACTCCATTCCCAGCAAATGGTGAGCCCCTATCAACCAGCAGTCAGACTGATTTATATGAGTACGAACTACGTAAACATCATGTTCCTGTTCTTTTTTAGGAAACTACTGTAAAGGAACTTTTGATAAGTTTGTGTGCTGGCCCCATTCATCTCCAGGGAATGTCTCTGTCCCCTGTCCTCCCTTCCTACCATGGATCACAGAGGGTATTGTTGTCACTAATACTGAATATCACGTATAAAGACACCTTTATTAGACTGTTGTTTCCATGCTTACTTCAACCGTTGATTAATTTGGAATGAGTGTCAACATTTATCATCGCAGAAGCTAGTCTCAGTCAATGGATGTTTGAAACTATGAATATTTTATATTTTTGGAGTGATGTTTGCATTGGATCGGCTCATGCTCAGGGTTTCAAACACCTACAATTTATTACATTTAAATGTTAACACTGAAGAACCAAGATCTGCACTCTGTTTCCAGGTTTTGTATTTAGATATGTATATATATATATTCCACTTTTTGATAAAGTATTTTACACACTGTTACTTGAGTGTAGTATAAACTGTTATGGGGTCATTATACTTAGAAATGTGCAACCCCATGCACACTTTGTAAAGTTAGTAGAATTAGAGCCAATACAATTTAGTTTTAAAAAAGTAAGTCTATTCATAAACATAAATATACATATGAGATATGTTCTTTTTAACTTGATTTTTAAAACCATTTTTTGTCAGATGATTTTGTAAACCCATAAAATCCAATTTTTTTAACCTTGCAGTGTGGAGCCAAGCAAAAGAACCAAGCAATCTTTAGTTCTAGATTTTTTAGTATATTACTATGATTTTCTTTAATGCTTTGTGTAATAGAAATTCAACTGATTAAATGCAGCTAAAAAAACAAAGGAATGGCCATTTAAGTTTTGAACCAAAGGAAAGAAGTAGATGCTATTTTTAGTTCCTACCAGTTTCCCTCTTATGGAATTCTCCCAGCACTTATATCCTTTAGGTCCCTATGTCACCATTTATTTTAGCTGTCATAAACCAACATTGCTAGAAACAAGATAATGTAAAGCTGGGAAGGTTTCAGTAAAATGGCAGGGAGAGCAGTTATCTTTCTCAACAGAAAGGAGAAACTTAAGAAATTTAAAGTTGTAGTGAAATCATACTTAAATATCAAATCATTTTGGCTTGAATATAAATGTACTCTTTATCAGACCATATTGTCCCAAATTTTAGAAATTTGGGACAATTCTATTAAAAAAAAAACATCCTATCTTAAAATCAGTTATTTATGCAGGCCAGTTAGTTATACGTCAGCCTAAACACCTAAATTTGGCCAATCATATATCAAAGGTCATCTGTCAATCAAATTTTTCTGGTCATAGCATCTTGATTTATATGTCGCAGCTAATATACGAAACGGTTGAAACAAGAAATATGAATCATTTCCTTTACCATTGAGTTCCATCCCAGTGTTCACGGGGATGGACGTCTGTGTCTTCAGCAGGCGTAGAGCTAACAGAACTGGCAGCGTTGCGAGGCAAGGGCTCAAACATGGACGGCTGGAAGCCTTCTACACCAAACCAAGCTTCTGCCGCCCTGGCGTCCTCTTCCACAACATCTTCTTCCCCGATTTCCTCCTCTAAATAAAAAATGTATGCGGAGGAGACTCATCCATGACCTCGGACACAAAACTCTCCTCTTGCATGTTTCCGCTGTCCATAGCGTTTTTTGACAGTGTCGTTTCTAAGTCACCAATTTAGTGCTACTTGATCCCAACGGAATTTCCCATTGGGAACCTACTAGTCGCTAACTGGTTCACAAGATGCTTCCGACAAACTGGCCACAACCAAACGTGCTTGCAAACAATCCCACTCCCTTTATAATCGACCAATCACATTCATTTTATTCACTCATGTAACACTCGGGAGAATTTGGAAATTCAACGGTTGGAACATCCGCTTCCCTACGACTTTAAGATTAAACATAAATGATCCAAACATCCTCACATCTCTATCATGAAAATAGCTCAAAGTTAATACACTTGAAAAGATTATGCTTACTGCTACTATATTCTAAATCTAAATGTATCTTGTTGCATCAGGTGGTAACAGGAGAGCACATCGGGAATGCTTAGAGAATGGGAGCTGGAGGCAGTTGGAGAACTCCACAGATCCCTGGAGAGACCATTCTGAATGTTTGGAACACCAATACTTCAAAGACATGGTGGATAGATTTTTAAAGTTTGATTTGTCTTTATGAATTATAATTCAAATGTGTTAAAATGATGCTAGAGTTATTTTATTTTTAATTAAATCTCTTTTTGTTTTCAGGAGGATCAAATACCTCGCGACTCTGCCCTCAGGCTCATCTCTGTCATTGGTTATTCGTTGTCGCTAGTGTCCCTCTCTCTGGCCACTCTGCTCATGGGAATGCTAAGGTCAGTTCTCATTAGACAAGAAGTTAGAAATTTAACAAGACTTGCTGTAGCTCAACTGTAAATGTGAGGAAAAAAGTACTGGGGATAACTTTTAGACGCCCAGCTATCTTCCAGCCAAACTTATATTAAAGTATAATGGAATTAACCTTTTTCAGTAAGTGCGCCAATGTATTTAAGTTGTAATTTTCTTCTTTGCTCCAGCAGAGCCATGCTGAATAGGCCATTGACTTGCCTTAAATGTATATAGAGCTGGGTGGAAAGGCAGCTGGTTCTCTGTAAGAAGTGATTAATGAGACTATGGAGGCGATTAACTATCACTAACAGCATTATAAACCACAAAGATGTCCTACCTGTACCTCCATTACTTTAATTTCCTCCTACCAAATGAGCAGCGCCCTTGCATTGATAATGCTGTTAGTGTTGTGCAGGAAGCACCAATTAATGTATCCTCACTCTTCCTGTATCTTCTTACCAGGAAGCTCCATTGCACCAGAAACTACATTCACATGAACCTTTTTGTGTCATTCATCCTGAGAGCTGCGGCCATCATTTCAAAGGAAATTATCTTCCAGCTCATGTATTCCAATTCACCGGATGACGACCATGGATGGAACTTCTATAGCTCAGCTGTACTATAACCTCTGCCTTTTTTATGTACATTTATATATGGACAAAATTGTTGGTACCCCTAATTAAATGAAAGAAAAACCTACAATGGTCACAGAAATAGTCCAAATCTGACTGGAGTAATAATAAATAAATATTAAATAATAAGAAACCAAAATAAGAAAGATTTTTTTCTACAATTGTGCTGCTGAAGGTGGCTGCGCGTTGGAGTTCTGTAGGCTTGACTCTGATAATCTTTTTTATGAGACCTGTAGTTTCTCTGTTTGTGGATCAGAATTTCCCATTTCTGATGTTTTTTGCTTTTGGTGTTGAATGCTGCAAAACCGGGAGGATTTTTTTCCCCCTTTTTGGATACTTGTTTCAGTGCATACGAACAGCAACCATAGCAAGTTTTACAGCCGAGAGCAGCTAATTAACACCTTTAAAGCTGAGATAACACATTGATTACTTCCTCTAATACCAGATGAGTTGAAAAGGTGGCACCAGGGATGCAAAGCAGGAGAAGGGACTCTGGAGGAACAAGAAAATTGAGCCATCTCTTCCATCAATCATCATGGGTAACATGAAATCATTAGGAAACAAGAACCCAGCCATTAGTATGGTTAATGCCATATTATATGTTTTACTAAAACGTGGCTGCAGGATCATATCTCGGACTCCAGCGTCTCTCTCTGCTAGGCTTTCTGATCTTAAGAGCAGACATAGGTTTAAAGAAGACTCAAAAGAGAATTGAAAGGGGGTGTGTCGACAGTGTTTGTCAATAACAGATGGTGTCATCCAGGCCATGTTACTTTGAAGACTTCTCACTCCAGCCAAGATATTGAAGTGTTGGCATTTGGTTTCTGACCATATTATTTGCCCAGAGAGTTTACCAGTGTTCTGGTTACATTCTACCTTCTGCTGTTGCCGACAGTGCATGTGAAGTAATCAGTTTCATTGTTGCTGAGCTACAGAGACAACAGACAAATGCATTGTCTCGCTCTCTGCTAAACTGCCAATGTTCCAAAAGTTTGTCAGCTGCTCTATTAGAGAAAAACAAATCCGGACGTGTTTTATAGAAATTTCAAGGACTCCTGCATGTCTCAAATAAGACCTCTTCTTAGGAAATTAGAATAGAATTCAGCCTTATTGTCATTCCACTGTCACAAGTACAGAGCAACGAAATGATTTCTCTGCATTTAACCCATCCCCTTGGGGAGCAGTGGGCTGCCATTGCGCAGCGCCCAGGGAGCAGTGAAGGGATAAGAGTCTAGCTCAGGGACCCAAGTGGCAGTGGGGGATCGAACTCACAACCTTAGGATTCAAAGCCTATGCCCTATGCTCCAGCCACTCCCTTAATTAGGTCACAATGTCTCTTGCCCACAGTCACATGGACATAATACCCTCCTCTTTCGTTGACACCACTGTTTCTATGAGTTCGTTATCAGCCAAATCAGAAGATCGTGCTGTGCCCTCCGCCTATCACCATCTGTCTCTAAAAGTCAAATGAAGAGGAGCCTAGAGAAACTGAATTGTAATCAGTCACCAGGTAAAGATGGTGTCAGCCCCAGAGTCCTGAAGGCCTGTGGGATTCTACAGCACCTCTGCAACCTTAGTCTGAGACAGGATACAGTTCCAGTGATGTGGAAGACCTTCTGCCTTGTTCCAGTAGCAAAGACGACTCAGCCAAGTGTCCCCATTAACTATAGGCCTGTCGCCCTGACATCCCACATCATGAAAGTTCATATGAAACCTCTGTTGGTTCACCTCAGCAAACAAACAAGCAGCTATCAGGACCTCCTGCAGTTTACTTTTCATCATTAAGTTGGAAATAAAGATGCTGTCATAAACCTGCTTCAGCAAACCCCATTTAGACAAAGCAGACAGTACTGGGAGCATCATGTTCTTTAAGTTCTCCAGTGCATTTATTGCAATTCAGCCTGACTTACTATGTGAGAAACCTCGGAAGGCTAAGGTAGAAGCATCAACAATCGCTTGGATCAAAGACTACCTGACAAATAGACCATAGTTGTTTAGACTGCAGGGTCAACTGTTTAATCAAGTAGTCAACAGCACAAGAGCACCACTGGGGGTTTTACTCTCACCTTTCATTTTTACACTGTACACCTCTAACTTCCAGTACCAGAGTCCTGTAACCTACAGAAATAGTCAGATGACTTTCCAGTCATTGGGTGCATCAAAGATGGACAAGAAGCCAAGTAAAGAGAGCTAGTGAACTACTTTGTGGCATGGTGTGGAAACATTCATAAATAGGAACAAATTTAATCCTGTTGACATGATGGGAGAAGAAGTAGAGGTGGTGCATACCTTGGTGCTCATCTTGACAATAAACTAGATTGGAAACACAACTGTGAAGGCGTCTACAAAAAGGGACAGAGCAGATTGTACTTTCTAAGGGAGCATAGTTCCTTAGGCGTTGGCAACAAGATGCTTTTGTCTTTTGTGAAGAGTGCGATCTCTTCCTCTATGATCTGCCAGGGTAACAGCACCAGAGCAAATGACCTAAAAAAAACTCAGCAAGTGAATAAAGAAGGCCGGCTCTGTTCGATGGAACTCCTCTGAAACTTCTGGGGATTAGTTCACAAAGAAAAATTTATCATAAAATTATTAATATTATGTACAATGGTGAACATCTTCTTTAGAAGATATTTAAACAACCAAGTGTCTCCAGTAAAATGCTTCTCCAGATGCGGTGCAAGACAGACTGGTACAGAAGATCCTTATAGCCTATAGCAACATTTTATTTCCCTTTGTGATTCATAAAGTATTTATGAATTGAAGGCCTGGGAAAAAAAACTCTGGTACCCCTCATTTTTTGTTGTAAAACCTTATGAGGCAATAGCAGCCTTCAAATGATTCCTATAATGTTCAGTGAGAACTGCTAAATACCTGCTGCACCTCTCAGTAGGTATTTTGGTTCTCACCTTCTTGAGCAAACTGCTCCAGTTGTCTCAGGTTTAAAAGGTGTATTTAGGTCACGGCTCATAGAAGGCCACTTCAGAATAGTTCAATGTTTGCCTTTCAGTTGTTTTGGAGTGTTTAGCTGTGTGCTTTTTGGTCATTATCCTGTTGCGAGACTCATGACCCATGACTGAAACCAGGTTTTCTGAAAATGGGCAGCACATTTATCTCTAGAATCTCTTTGTAGTCTCAAGATTTACACTGTACAAGACACCCTATGTTAGATGAAGCAAAGCAGCCCCCTAATATAACAGAGCCTACTATAAACTTCACAATAGGGACAGTGTTCTTTTCATGATGTTTCATTATGCTAAAGATAAATGAAACATATTGGCAAAAAATTTCACCAAATAAACAGATTTTCTCTAATTTATCCATAGGAGATTCTCCCAGAAGCTTTGTATCTTGTCAATGTTTAATTTGGCTAATTCCTGTCTGGCTTTTTTATGATTTGTTTTAAACAAGTGTCCTCCTTAGTCATTTCCCATTTAGTCCATTTGGGCTAAAACAAAAATGGATGCTGTGATCTGATACTAATGTTTGTTGGGGTTCAAATACAGCTTAAATTCCTAGAAGTGTTTTTTTTTTTTTTTTTTTTTTCTCTCGGGGACTCTCTTATAACCATTAATATTAGTCGTCTCTTTGATTGTTCATCCATTTCCCTCCTGCATCCATGTCCTAGGAGTTTGGTTACAGTCCTATGGATCTTAAATATCTGAATAATACTATAGTCACAGGAACACCAAACTGATTGGAGATGGTCTCACATTCTGCTTGTCTGCAATTTTCTTCTAATTCTTCTGCGACAATTCTTTCCTTCACTTCCTCTGGTCCATGTTGAGTGTGATACACACCATGTCACCAAACAGCACAGTAACTACCTCCAGTCATACAGTATATACAGACCCACTGACTGATTGTAGAAACCTTTGATTCTAAGTAGTGGACACACCTTAATTGAACATGTCCTTTTTGTCATTTGTAGAAATACCATTATTTTTATTCCAGGCCTTTTTCAAGAGTAGATTTCTTAAACTCATTCTTGAATCAAGATAAAACGGCAATGTCTGAATTTCACTGGGTGATTTTCATGAAATTGTTAATTATTTTTATTATTGCTTTTGTAAAATTCTAATTATTTCTGTGACCATTCCGTTGTTGTTTCTTTTTTTCATTAAAAAAGGAGTACCAACAATTTTGTCCACGTGTTTACCTGTGTCCAATGTGTACAGCTTCAGCATGATCTTATTCCTCAACAGATAGGACTACTGTGCAAATTCTCCAAAGTTTGCATGGAGTACTTCGTGGCATGTAATTTCTTCTGGCTCTTGGTGGAGGCCATTTTTCTTCACACACTGCTCTTCACGGCTGTGCTGACCAAGAGATGCCTGCTGAAGAAATACCTGCTGCTGGGATGGGGTAAATCCTCCATGCTTTCATACCTAATGCTGATACACCACAATTTCCCCACTGTGGGACAAAATAGGATTATTCTATTATTTACGCAGGTTTTGTTAATGGGAAGGACACGGCAGATTAAATCTTGGGTATGCTGGGGCTTTAAAAATGTGCATCTATAGTGTGTTTTTACTATTATAATCTATTTAGGTGTCATTAGCCTTCTTGTTGAAAAATCACCATCAACTGCATGTTGTTGAAATTTTTCAGCACTGTCGGTAGGTATGGAAACCTTTCACATTTAAACCGATATGCTTAGAGAGGGATTTTTACTGGAACTTAATGATACCGATTTTCTGTATCATTGTGTGTATTTGTCAGTCAATACATTTGAATTTGTTTAATAATAAAATCTCAAAACTTAAACCTCATCTTAAACTCTAAATTATGATACACCTGCCTTACAGGCAGTGTCACTGTTGACACTGACATCACCAAATGTTTAGAAAATGTAATCTCCAAAAATGCAGGACAGGTAACAGTTCTGAAAGCAGGAGTTGTAGCCATAGATATTAGGCTGCCACCTTTAAGCTTTGAGACAAAAAAAATGTGTGGTTAAATAGGTCCACCCTCAGATATAGGCTTGCTTTAAATATAGCAGTAAAAAGTGTAATCTGCATTGCATTTAGAAAAGTGGATCCATACTTCAGAGCACTTTTTATGAGTCATGCTTTTAATGTAGACTGTAAAATGTGGCTAAGACGTCATTGTGCCCATGCAATGCTGTTTTCGTCAATTCTTCCTCTCCCTCAGTGTCTCCATGATGGGTTTAGATACAGAGACATGGTACTATTTGATTTTACAAAAATGGATACTGATGGAATTAGGTGGAATCTGGCACCTATCCCTAATTTTACGTGCACAAGGTTTCATATCAAAGGAGTCTTTTTGATATTAATTACACCCTGATAATAAATACAAAATGAATTAAATGATGCTTTATTATAACAACATTCAGAAGTTTCCTCTCCTTTTAATGAACCCACATTTGGTTGAGAAGTTGTAGCCAATTGGGTGAATTGATTCACGTTACAGTGTCGGCAACGGTAATTATAGCAACACAAATGCAGGTTGAGTGACTCATCTGCAACAAAAGTAGAAGCCGTAAATATTTTCTATCTGCTACTATAGAGACATAATAAACAGACATGGTATATCATTTTTTTAATTTTATGTTTTTAAGCTAATTGAAGCTTAAAATAGGGTAGAATCTGACGTCCACTGTTCTGAGGTTTAAATGCAGCGAAAAGTCTTTTGACTGACTTATCAAAGAGGACCGAGTTATCTTTTTAATTTTTGTTCTGGTTATGTTTTTGAAAATAATTTTAATTTGTGGGATACAGGTTTAAAATACCAATGTTCTCTTGGAAAACAGCAACTCTTGCATCTGTCACTTTCCAGGAACTCCTGTCCTGTTCGTGACTCCATGGACAGTCGTTAAAATTGTATATGAAAACACAGGGTGAGTTTCTTAATTAAATGCATCGATTAAAATTTCTCATTACTCTAATAAACATGCTACTCCACATGTATTTTTTTGTTAAGGTGCTGGTCAATCGTGAACAGGTGGTTCTGGTGGATAATGAAAGGCCCGATTACTTTATCAGTTCTGGTAAGAATGTTTCTCAGGCACTTTTTCAGCATGCTCTCCAGATTTATAACAATTATTATATGTTTGTATTGTGTGTACAAACTGAAATCTACAACAATTCTATCTGATTCAATGTCGCATTTCATGTTCGCTGGTATTGTGATGATACAGTTATGCAGCTGTAGTCGCACAGAGATACTGTATGATACTATTTTAAACTAAATGCATTTTTACATGCAAAGTTTACTGTTATTTGTCATCTTAAAAAAGATAGGCCAAGTGCAATGCATTTAAATATACCATTAATGTATTTTGCAGGTCATTTTCATTATATTCATCAAAATTCTGAAGCTGTTGTTGTCCAAGCTGAAAGCCGATCAGGTGAAATTTACCGACTACAGATACAGGTACTCCATCCTCTATACCCAGTGTTACACGGACATTTAGTCAAAATGTTTGTAGGTTCCTCCTTTTGATTTGCTCTCACAATGTTAATTCCAAATCCCAACTTCAAACATTCCACACATAAGCTGGAGACATTAACGTCACTGAGTGATGAATCCCTCGATGCATTTCAGAAATTCCTTTCTATCTTTATTCTCCTTTCGTCTGAACCAGTATGAATTTATGAAGTTTCTTCTGTTTTCTTATTAGGAATAGTTATATTATAACAAATCTAATTCCCTGGATCTTGTATTTATACCCTTCAGTTTAGCCAGAGCAACGTTGGTGCTGATTCCCCTGCTGGGACTCCATGAAGTTGTCTTCCATGTACTAATAGATGAATGTGTGGAGGGTAATAGTCGCTATGCACGCAACTTTATCAACCTAACCCTAAGTTCCTTCCAGGTAACATAATAATAAAAATCATAATGTACATGTTGATCATTTGTGTATGTTCACAAAAAGCTCTAAAATGTTCTCCTTGCATTTTCAGGGCTTCCTGGTTGCTGTGCTTTACTGTTTTGCTAATGGAGAGGTATTGTCCTTTTTCGGGTTGTTGTTCTACATTAGTATAAAAAGCAGGAATAGTTGAGTTGAGGGAAACAGTACATGTATTCGGCAGAACCATGATGCCAAGCTGAACTATTTGAGAAAAAGTAATTCCTTGTCATTCCTAAATATGAAAAGAGTATTTTTTTTACATATTCATTAAATACATTTACATTAATTGATATTAGATTTTAAAATACAAATTTTGCAAAGATGTGATTCTAGAATAACAGTTTGATGGTTTTAAGCTTGAGCTAAAATGTCACAGTATCAAGGTGGTAACAAACAAATATAAGGAAATACAACATAAGATGTTTTTCATGTCTGTTCTTATAGATCATAAACACAAGAAGCTGAAAGAGGTTGTGAGCTTAGAAAATTGTGTGCTTAGATGAGTGCAAGATAAATCACAGTAATCTGTGGTGCATTTTAGTTCCCACATCCTGCAACAAACAATCTTTTTTAGCACCTATTTTTTTCTTTCTTGTCCACTAAGTAATATTGTAGAGGCCCGCAGATAGCCAAGGGGCAGTGTGCCGCAGCGACCTGGGGAGGATTTGGACATGATTCCTGTTTGATTTATGTAATGTTAGAGGAAACTGTTCAAAAAGCATGATGAAAAAATGTATTGGAGCTTTTTTTAGACTTTGCTTTGCCTCGTATCCAGTAGTCTAGTTGTAAAGAAAAACAAGGGGGATCGTAGAATTTTTCAGGTTTTTTTTTTAAAGCATACATAGACTAATTGTCATGATCTTATCTAAAGCTCGGACCTACATGCAGAGAAACCAATTCAGAGAGACCAGGGAAAAGGTTTAACAGGTTTTATTGAAGAAGTTAAACAGAGGGTGAAGTGTTGCTCTGAACACTGCTCAACCGGAACTGAAAAGTAAGGGGAAGACACAGCGGTTAGTTCAGGCTCAGTGGGGAAATTGACTCATGAACTTGGAGAAGAGGATTTGGTTGCCGACTCACGTTTCCAGAGAAGTAGTTGAATCCTTGACTCCTGTCTGTGTGCCGTAGTTCCAGTGTTTGTCTGATTCGGTGGAGGGCGGAACAGGGTTTACCCAGAATGCGGTTGATTGTTGGTGAACGGAGAAACTGACTGTCACTCAGATTTCCTGCGGTACTTGAACGGGTCGTAATGGAGAATAATCCCTTTCTCAGTGAGAAGCTCAAACGATCTCTTGGGGAAAGTGGATCCAAACCTCCTGTTTGAACCCCAGCTCAGTTTGAAGCTCAGATGATCCTTCCAGGGAGAGAAGGTCAGAGAAATCCAGTTTGCAGGATGACTTCCTGCCAAGAGGCACTGAAAACTCAGCATGA